GTTGGAGCCGCCTCTGAATGGAAGCAGGATCAGGGCTCAGGGGCCCCGCCATGCAGGCCTGGCAGCTTGGGGTTCCCCCGATGGCGCTGCAGAGACTCGTCCAGAGGAGTTCGTCTCTAGGTCCACCCCGTGTGCAGTGGGGGCAGGCCCCAGGTGAGAGCAGGCCCTGGGAGGGAGAGGGGGCAGGGTGGGTAGAGCCCCAGGGAGCAAAGTGGGTGCAGTAAGGGGGGTGGCTTAGTCAGGAAGGACCTCCATGGGTACTCCTGCAGGGTGTCCTGCCTTAGGGAGCAGGAAGGGGCCACAGATCCTTGGGCTGGGGCCGGGCGTTCCATCGTGCACTCCCGGCACCTCCACATGCTCTCTGAACGGCACTGTACGTGCACAAGTCGGGGGCATGGAAGTGACCGGAACGTCAGGTCTGGGGAGCAGGACAGGACAGACCTTCAGGCGGGGATGTGGCTGCAGGTGGAAAGGCCACCGCGTGGCCCCGCCCAGGCGTCCCTCCCTCTGGCCCCCCACCACTCGCCCTCTCTGCCTGGAGGGCTGCTGGGTCCACTGCTTGCTCTCTCTGCCTGGAGGGCTGCCGGGTGCTTGCTTGCTCGCTGGGAGGTGTAGACTTTGTGGGCCCCTGACCTGGGCCTCCCGGCCCAGAACTTGACTCCCTTTGAGCTCCTCGTCCTCAGGAAGGAAGGTTCCAGGTGCAAAGAGGCAGGGTCCCAGCACCAGCCACCTCGCTGCCCCAAGGGGCCCCACCAGCTCTGTGGGCCCTGTCTCTGTCACTGCCCTAGCCAGAGCCGGGCCCAGCTGGGCTGCCACCCCAGTTTCTTGTCTGGACTCTGGGGTGGGTGGAGGGACCAGAGCCAGAGCTCCACCCCCGTGCCACCTAGATGAGTGTCCCACATCTGCTGGTCGGACACTCAGCCACCTGCACGGCTGGGCCCAAGGGGCCCAGGAGGCCACACAGGCCGGGCCTTCTGTCCCCACCTGACTCGTAATTTGTCCATCTGAGGGGGGAGGGGAGACGCCCCCAAATCCATGCCCCGCCCCTCCAGTGAGAGCGCCGTTACTTCTTCCACCCCGTGGCCGGGGCTCCCCCTGCAGGGCTCACGGGAGGGCGAAGGTCGGCCCTGGCCCGCTGGGCATTTGGGGTTTAGCAGGATTCGGCATCACTTCAGTGGACACGGTGTCTTCAAAAACCCCTGGAAAATGAGTATTATGGAAACTGTGGGTTTAGAAGCAATTTTGGGGTGGGGGTTCATGATTTTAATACCATTTTCCACAAGCTTTTTGAAGTTCCTTCGTATTGGTCCTGATTGAAAAGCAAAAAGAAAGATCATCTGCATTTAAATTCAACATATTTTAATTTCTCTTCAGAAAAAATTTTCTTTGCAAGTCATTAAAGAAAACTAAAAAAAACCCGAAAAAGTATTTTAACAGAAAAATCTGTTTCTGACTCATTTCAAATGCTACCACTGATTCTGGCCTGAGGGCCCTGGCCACTGGGACCCCCGCCCCGCAGGCCCCCGGCCATGAATTCCTGAATTCCCGTCTGTCGGGACCCTCTTACGCTTGCTGGCTGGCCCCTCGGGCACGTTTCCCGATGGCTCTGTCCCATCGGAGGGCGGAAGCTCCGCCGACGAGGGCGGGTCGCCCGGCTCTGCCCTGGTCTCTGCGCCTTCTGAGGCGGCCGACCCAGCGCGGGGCCTGGCTGACTATAAAACAGCTCGGTTGTCTTCTAGGAGAAGTGCTATTTATTCTGGAGTAGTAGTAAAAAGGGCCCCAAGGATAAGGAGGCCATTCAGGCCTACTCTGAATCCCTGATGACGCCAGCGCCCAGGGGCACAGTGCTGCAGGAGGCCAGACTGTAGGTGGGTACCAGGTAACGCCCTCCCCGCCCCTCCCGTAGGTAGGACTCACCCGTTGCAGGTGGAGTCTGCAGATGGCGCCCGCTCTTTTGCCTTCCGACAGCCAGCCCTCTCAGGGCGGGCCGGAGGGCAGTGTCCCACCCGCCTCTGCTCGCGGGCCGGTGCCTTGTTTGCAAGGTCGGGCTCAGATGGCAGGACCGCCACTGCTCTACCGGTGTGTGGTCAGCTCCTGGGAAGCTGGCCGCTGGGAGCGCAGGGTGCCGGACAGCCTTTAATAGCCTGGGGCCCAGGCAGCTGCATTTCAGGGACCCCTAGGGGAGTCTGATCTAGATGGCGGAGGGCCCCCGGCCAGCAGCGTCCGTGTAACCCGGGCCGGCCGACCTCGAGCCCCAGCTGTGTACTGGCTGGGCCTGGGTGGGGGTGCTGGATTGAGCATGGCCGACAGACCTAGAGGCAGCAGGACGCCCAGCCAGGTGGCCATCCAGGTGGACAGGAGTGACCCGCAGTGAGCGCTGGCTCCTGTCTCGTGGCACATGTCGACGCTGGAGACCCCTCTGTGGTCGCCCAGACTCGAGTGTCACAGGCGCCGGGCTCTCCGGCTGCCCCTCTGCGGGAGGAGTGGGCTCGTGCCTGGGGTCCCCCAGCGGGTGGCTTCCTTTAGAGTAGCGATGTGTGGTGTCCCTGCTGGGGCGGGGACAGGCAGAGTGCAGGCCCTGGAGTTGGGGTCGGGCAGCGGGGAGGCTCTCCGTGGTCTGCCTCTGGCAACGGCTGTTACTTCAGTTGGTGAAAGCTGCCACCTCTCAGTACCCGGGCCTGCTGGGTGTAATAGAGGCCGGGCAGCCCAGCGCCCTTCCCGGCAGGCCTGGTGGGGGGATGGGAAGTGGGTGGGCGGGTATGCCGGCCCTGCAGGAGGTGGGCGAGGTGGGACGGCTGCACCCCTGCAGGCTCCGGCTCTGAGCTGAGCTAGGCTGGCTAGGAGAGCCGTGTCCTCCTGCGACAGGTTCTGGGTGTGGGGCAGGGCATCTTGGCAGGTCCCCTCTCCTTCTCCTCTCCCAAGGCTTCTCCAGTACACCTTTTTATGTT